TCAATTCCTTTTTTTGTTTCTTAAGTAAATGACATCGTACTTCTTGCTTTAAACTTAATGTCACTTCTAATGCTCCATTCCACAAGATTATCTAAATTGTCCTGTACAGTAATCCAGTCCCCTTCTGTATTGACAATAGCTCATCTTAGTATCATCTGCAAATGTCATGGGGACACTTCCAGTTCTAGTACCAAGGTTACTGATAAAAATGTTAAACAGTATCTATGTGAATGGTGTTCTTAGATCAGTCTCCAAGGAGATACACCGGTAAACTTTCTCCACTGAGAGGCAGAACTTCTTGCACCACTATAATCTACAGTAAAATATCCTTCCTGATACCTCATTAGACAATTGCCATTACCCTGAGTGGAAAAGTAAGACCTTATAGACAAGAACCTCTGAGTTGTCTAAGTTATGGTAGGGGCATCGATGCACTCTATTAAAACCCCCGACCTTAGCTGAAGCCAGTTTCCTAAGTCTTCTGAGGAAAGGAAACCAAAAATCAAAAAAAATCCCCAGAAGCATTTATAATACTGGGTGAGGAGAATCCTTTCTGGTCAAGTTGGCAACCAGCAAAAGCTCTGAGACATGGAATTACCAGATACTTTCCACATGAGAACAACTAACTTGTTCCCCCCAAGTAAAGAACTGAACACCTAACCCTACATCTCACACAACGATTATTGATCAAGGACTCCTGCTCTATCATCCTCTCCATAAATATGTCCATTTCAATCTTAAAGTGACTCAATGTCCTTGACCTCACCACTTTTCTTGGAAGAACATTCCAAAACTTCGTCCTAATTTTCCTAATTTTTCCTAATTTCCTATCAAAATTTTTTCCTAATTTCCTTTCCAAATTTCCATAGCCATTTCATCTTGTACCAGTGCTGCTTTCCAACCTTAAAATATCTTTTTCCATAGTATTCACCCTAGAAATGTAGTTGTAAACAGGCACCTTTTATTTGCCTTCTCAATACGTTTTGCTAAACTAAACAAGTCAAGCTCCTTTAATTATGTTTCATAAGAAAAGGTCTCCATCCCCTCAACCATAAGTGTGGCCCTTTGAACTTGTTCCAGTTGAAGCTAATCTCTTCTGAATGCTGGTGAGCAAAACTATACATAGTCTTCTAAATGCAGTCTTAGTAATGCTGTGTATGAGGACACTAGTACTTCCTTCTCTCTCGCATGTATCCCATCGAATGCACAGCAAGATTGTGTTAGTCTTTTTTACAGCTGTGCAGCTTATGTTTATCCTACAAGCAAACAATGCACTGGGGTCCCTCTGTTTCTCAGATATTTCCAGCCTGTGTTCCCAGATTTTAACTCAATTCCTTTTTTGTTTCTTAAGTAAATGACATTGTACTTCTTGCTTTAAACTTAATGCCACTTCTAATGCTCCGTTCCACAAGATTATCTAAATTGTCCTGAACAGTAATCCAGTCCTCTTCTGTATTGACAATAGCTCATCTTAGTATCATCTGCAAATGTCATGAGGACATTTCCAGTTCTAGTACCAAGGTTATTGATAAAAATGTTAAACAGTCTGTAGGTGAATGGCATTCTTAGATCAATCTCTAAGGAGATACCACCGGTAAACTTTCTCCATTGAGATGACTCCTCCTTCAGCATAACCAGCTGTAATCCCTTTCTGAGCCAACTCCTTGTCCACCACCTCATGCTTGTAGTACTAAATCTTATCCTCTCAAGTTTTGCCAATACTTTTGCATGAGGCACAGTATCAAAACCTTTGGTTTGACTTAGGTAAATTAAGATACTGCATTACCCTTATCCAAGAAGCCTGTTTTCTTGTCATAAAAAAGACATTAGTTTGACATGATGATCTTCTGATAAACCCATCTTGTGTTTTATCCCATTTCCTATTTCCTTCATATCTTTAACTATTCTTTCTTTCAGTATTTGTTCTAAGATACTGAACAATTGCTACTGAAGTAAAATTAACAGGCCTGTAATTGCCTGGATCACTCTTTCTCCC